TTTTTAAAAAAAAAAAAAGGCAAATGTCTTCTCTGTCTCCAGGAAGAGTTATTCAAACAAACATTCATTTCTTCGGAGCTTCTTCTTTTCTGATATATGTCCAGTTTTGTCCCAGAGGAGGGCTTCTTTTCTCATGGTCAGGGTTCCATCACTTGGCCCAGAAAAAGGATCGTTCCTGAGGGTGGAAGAATCATGGGAACTGAGAGCTGGAAGGAGGAGTACAGCTCACCGAGCTCAATGTTTAGGGAGAAACTGAGCTCTGAGAGCTGAGTGGGCTGCCTGGAGTCACAACTGCCTGTGCGACTAAGCTGGGATGAGGGTCCTGGCACTTTGCTGTCTATGACAGGACTGCCTCCTCTGAGCAGTGGTGGAACTGAGTGTGGCTTCTTTGCCCACAGTGCTCTTGGTGATATGGGGGCGTGTCCATATCTGTCTGGACTGGTACCCAAGATAGAAGAGGGATGGGAGGACAGCAGAAGTTGTGGGGCCCTGGCTTACCTGTCGGGTTGTGTCGAACCACAAAGAGGAAGGGTCTGTCCATGATGATCTCTTCGGGGGCCATTCGCGCTGACACTAGGATGGCTGGAAGAGACGGGGGGTGGTGTCTTAGGACAGGGGGACGTTGGCACTGGTGCTCAGATTGGTCACTAGTGATCCATTGACAGTAGCCTTGCGGGAGGTGATTTTTAAGAAGCTTGTTTGTTGTCTTGAATATAAACCTTAAATGTCTAGGGCTATCCTCTGAAACCTGGTTTCTTTCTGGAGTTTGGTAGTGATTGATTATTCACTCGCAAATACAGATTTATTGAAACCCTCTTAGGGCTTATGGAAAAGCAAGTTCCTCTGGTTTACCACCCATGTGGGAATGAGTCAGGCTTCACTTTGGGAAGCCTTTTCACATTCAGGGACTTTAGGTCATCAAGGTGCAAAAATGAGGTCCCAGGAAATGTGGGCCCATTTTCCAGACTGGGAAACAGGTGGGGGAAGGGTAATAGCAAGGCTCTTGCTCTCCACATGGGAAGAGCAGCTTTGTGAAGAGAGGTTTGTGTGGCCAAGGCAGCAGGGCCCACTCTGGGCTTGGGGAATAGTCGTACTGAAGGACGATTGAGGTGCAAGTCAGTGGCCCGTCTGGGAAACCTGAGCTGAGATTCATGGAGCCTCACCTGAACTAGACTTACCTGTGGAGGAGGATGCCACTGTGCCACTCTCGTTCACCTCAATCTTCACTTTTTGCAGTGCCTGTGACACATACAGAAGCTCCTGGTCTGAAACAGAGGCGGGGACATGGGTAGGTAAGCCACCACACTAGGGAGAGCCTCCGTTGTCCTCTCAGTGGCCCTGAATCCACCAGGATAAGAAAATGAGAAGGAAAAGCCTCTCACCTGAAAGACTTGAGAAGTCTGCGCGATTAGGCCTAAACATGTCAGTCATCCCCAAGTCCTCCAGGGGCCTTCTGAGATCAACTTCGCTCTCCAGGGAAAACCTGTGGCAGCAACGTGAGACAGTTCAAGCTCATCCCTCTCTCATTGGCAGCACCTGCCTCTCCCAGCCCCCCACCTGGCATCCCCTGGGCAGACAGAATGAGCACTGGTGGGAGAGTTGAAGAGGGAAGTGTGTGTGTGTGTGTTATCTGTTTGCACCATCTCTCCTTGCTAGAGGTTCTAATATTAATGAACATTCTTCTGCAATCTCCCCACCCCCTTGAACTTACAAGTAATTACTTTCCTCAAATAAAACAGTAGTTTGAGCATAATTTTATTCAGTCTGGCTGGGGGGCCAAGGGCAAATTCTTCTGCAAGGATGTTTGAACAGAAATCTGGTCTGTAGATTGTGTTTCTGAGAGCTAACCCTGAAGAGGATTCAAGCAGTGAGACTTTGGGGCACTCTCGGCTTCCCACCAGGACATGGCTAATTACCTCTATTTTTATGAGAGAGAGAGAGAGAGAACACCAGCTAACCAACGAAATTCTGTTTCCCTGAGCCTGGTATAATAGCCCCTGGAAATTTGGGGTGAGTGTGGTAAGAGGCTTTCCTGCAATTCTGGAATTACCCAACCTCAACCTTCTCTTCCCACTTTGCTTCTGCAGAAGGATTTTTTTTTTTTAAATCTGCTTTGTTGGAACCCCAACTAGAAACTGTAGTCAGGGCTGCTACATCTGGAAGTGATTCCTTTTGTTGCCGTTGTTGGATGTTGACTTGATGGGGGTAAATGTGTAGGACATTCATAAATGGGCGTGGGCTGATTTAGACACCCCCCTATAATTTCTCTGGCTCTCAGTTGGCTGGCTTTTGCTGGGTGTTCTGTGGTGATCAGTGTGGGGGCACAGCCTGGAAAAGCTTTCCCCTACCCTCCAGCAGAAGCAGGCAGAGAGATGATTAAGGGATCTTAATCCAACCCAGGCCAGAATGTTTCCCATCAGCCTCCTACACACAGCTCTGCCCTACAAGTGTCATGGATCTGAGAAATGACATGGTGCGGGGTGATTTCAGGGAGCCAGGAGAGAGTGGCAGGGGAAAGTGGGGACTGAGGCACTGGTGAGTGTGGCAAGAGCAGGGGATGTCTTACTTGGGCAGAACCAGGAGGCGGGGCAGTCTGGTCATGTTGCCTTTCCACTGGCTGATGAGCTGGGCATCCAAGATGTTGGTGAGGGCAGAGAGAGGCACTTCTTTTTCATAGGGAGCAGCAATGAACATGCTGAGGGTGTCCCCATGGTAGGGCAGTTCCAGGATGTCATAGTAATGGCCATCAGGAGTGGTAAACTCAGCTGTGAAGACACCAAGACAGCTGGTTAGAAATGGCTCCAACTTTCATTGATTCTAACCCAGCACTGGGTCTTCAGCGAATTCTATCTTCCCACTCTTTCTGGAAGTCAAGCTCTCTATTCCAGCTCTGTAGACTCCCCTAGTCAGTGTTTTGTTTGTTTGTTTTCATTTCCCTTCTTTTCTGCCAAGTCAATGTCTTCTGATTTCTGTCTCTTTTTTGGCCTTCTTGCCTTCATTCCCCCTCTCCCTCTGTCCCAGCCACTAATCCATTCCAGTCCTCCTCCCTTTAATCTCAACTCTCACATAGCCCTTTCTCCTGCAAGATTTTTTGGCTGCTGGTAATCTCACTAGAAAATTGGGGAGTTTAAAGACAGAAGTCCAATGGTCAAATGTAAGCCTAAGGGAATTTCTGCATCATCGTGCATGAGATAAAGATCCTTTCTTCTGCTTCCATTATCCTGTGATTCCTGCTTGGGAAACCTTTGTCCAAGCTGGGGTATATGCCAGGGTTTCTCCTCTCTTGTAGGAGAACAGTCCCTACGGTCTTCCTCCTTCAGTGGCAACATTTTGGATGTTCTCGGGGACCCAGGGATGAAATGTAGGGCTGAGGATGTGGGGTGGGGATTGTACTTACTGTAGTTGAACTTGTTGGTCTGAGTCATCATAGGCACAGAAACAGTGCTGCCATCAGATTTGTGGAAGAGGCCGTGGTGGGTGCCTGAATTTGGGAAGGGCGTCTTCCATTGACCATTGAAGTAGAGGGCGTTTGCCAGGACCAGGCGAGTCAGCTGATTTACAGCCCCTTCGCCTAGCAAGTTGCTGATCATACCTGTGGAAAGCCAGGGGATCAGGAAGTTAGATTTTTTTAAGCCTCTTAGACAGTTTCCTTCAGTTCCCAGTCTCTCATGGATGTATATTGAAGGGTGTCAGAGGGCAGGCAAGGGTGTAAATGACTCAGTCTAGCTGCTTCAACCTGTTCCATCTCTGTAAGGGTCTCAGAAAGTCTCCCAGCTCACCACACTTTCTTGGTCCTGGGATTCTGTTGAGGATCAGAATTGGAAACTCCAGTCTGCCCTTACGTTGCTGTTTTTGTTTTGTGTTTGTTTTTGTTTTGTTTTGTTTTGTTTTGTTGTTGTTTTTGGTTGTAATTTGCTATAAGGCATGTGCTCTCCAGAGAGAGAGAGAGAGAGAGAGAGAATGAGAAAGTGCCCCATTCAGGGGAGGGGGAGGATAGTCACGCTATCCTCACACTTTTCTAGTCTCCTCTTGGGATTTTGGACATGCATCATATGTGTCCAGCTATGATATTTTTTAAATTATTTTTTTTATTTGCTAAAGGGCATTGTGCTCACTAGAGAGAGACAGAGAGGGAGAAAGAGAGAGAGGGAAAATGAGAAAGCGTCGCACATGAGGGATAGTCATGCTGTAATCGCTTCTCCCTCATTTCTCCTTTTGGGATTTCCTTTGGATTTGGGACACATAGGCACGTATACCCAGCACGTTTTTCAAGCCACTATGTCTGGGACCTGGACTACACAGCTATCTGTGTGGGATCTAGCTGCCTTAACCACTATGGTATTGGCCCCTTTATTATAAAAACAAAAACACCTTTATTATGATTATTTTTTTTCGAATTTGCTGGAGGGTGTGTGCATTCACCGGAGGGACAGAGATATAGAAGTACAGAGAGAAGCACACATCCCCACTGGGGTATGGCCACATGCCATCCTTTCTTCACTTCTCCATCCTTTTGGGATTTGGGGCATGCATGTACATGTGCCCAGCATGTTTTTCAAGCTGGCAAGGCCAGGATTCGAACCATGTGGTTAGTCATGAGGGACCCAGCTCTCTTAACTATTAGGCCTTGAGGCTAGCCCACTGCAGTCTTAAAGGTTTGTGAGCTCTTTGTCATAGTTGTTGCTGTTCTTAGTTAAGTTCACAACATCTTTAGGGATGCCTTTAAAGTGAGCTCATGAGATTATAAAAATTATTAGCTATTAACACTTTGGTTTTTAAAGCACCTGGCCTTCCATCCTCAGAGAAGAGAATGCTAATAGGGAGAGCATGGACTTTGGGGATTTGTTTCCAAATTCCCTTTCTCCAAAGACCCTTGGGACTGACTTCCTTTCCCTGCCTGCTCACCTTTTGTGTGTCTCTTGACCCAGTCATTGATGATGAATCGAGCTCTCTCCACCTCTGAAAAGTCCACCTGTTTGATCGTGGTTCGGAACAGCCGAAAAAAGTGGGGCATGAAGCCTGGGACAAGCTTCAGGTCCCGCTGGACGAAGATGGCATCGGTGGTGCTGATCTCATCCTTGTTCCAGGGCCCCATGAGCTCCTTGTACAGTCGGCGCAGAGCAGTGGCTGTGTCCTTCTCTGTGTCAAGGCAAGGAGGACAGGACTCATCAGGCTCCTGCTGAGCTAAGAGCTCTCCACCAGGCTGCCTCCCCGGGGGCAGCCCACCCCTGCCAAGAAGGTTGGGGCTCTTCTGCTCCCCTAGGGGTGTCTGGAGAGAGTTCATTCCAAGCCTTCATTTCTTTTCTGTTTGTCTTTCATTTCCTCAAAATCTCAGGCCCTAACCCTTTTAGGGGTTGGGATGTTTTTTTCTTGTCTTATGAACTCTAATGGTTTTCCTATAATATGGAAGTGCTAACCACTTCATGTGCCTAATTCTAGTTCATCTTTACAGCTGCCCTGTGTGGTCAGTATTTCCCTCATTTTGTAAGATAAGGAAAGTGAGGCTTGGAGGGGTTCAGGTCACGTGGTTGACAGACGGCAAGGGAAAGCTATCTTATGTCGACTTCACTGGCCTATACCCCTGTAGTGGGTCAAGAGTCACCTGGTGATGCAGGGTGTAGTGGGAACAAGAGGGGTGGTCCCTGAGGGATGTGTGAGTTGACTCGGCTAAGTGAAGTCAGCCTTTCCTCAGCTTCTGACTGGCTCGACCTCTGTTCTGTGAAGGCCATGTGCCTCCCTGCCTCCCTCTCTGCCCAGCTCTCACCATCAATCTTGAATCCCATTGCCGCCTGGATCTGCTGCTGAGTCTCTCCTGCTGTCGTCAGCTGCAGCATGGCCAGCACAGAAGCCACCCCATAGGGTGAGAAGACCACGTTGCGCTCCTTGGAGGCCTGCGCCACCTGCCGAAACACCTTCACCCCGAAGTCTGTGACCAGTCGGGCTGCCTGAGATTGGTGAGGGTGTAAGGCGGACCCTTCCCCAGAGACGAGGGCCAGGCCCAGGGCTAGGCAGGCAAGGGCTGGAGACAGCTGCATCCTGGAGCAAGCAGAGAAGGGTCCAATGAGAACTAGTTCTAGGAGATGAGTGGGGAGGGGACGTGGCACCCCAGTTCCCCTGGTTTGCTTCTGTCAGGTGACAGATGAGCACAGGGCAAGAGTCACTCAGGCTGTGATACATTCAGATTCGGAGCCCTTCCTGCTCACCTCAGGCTGGAGCCCTGGGGAGCCCTACGCCCATGTTCACCTGTGGGAATCCTGGCTCCCACTGCAATGTATCTCCCTTCCCCCCGCCCCAGCGGGCTGAAAGGCTAAGCAATAATGACATCTTTGAGTTGCATGACACTTTTCAATTCTCTTATAACACTGTCCCAATTACTGTTTCCTTCAAGTTGGCAGGCATGAAAAGCTCCTTTCCTGGGTGTATTGACTGAGAGGGACAGAGAGAGTCGAGGTTCTTGTTTCTAGATGATGGGGTTGTTGGTGGGGTTGGACCACCCTCCCCATTCCCTGCAGTCACTGCTACAGTGAGGGGTGGGGTCAATCCAAGGTCATAGCTCTCCAGGGAGAGAAAACAGAGGAAAAGCAAAGATCGTGAGTGAAGGCGATGCTGGGGAGAAGAGTTCTCTGCTTCAGTCCTGAGGGGAGAGATGGAGGGACGGTGTCCTACCTTACGTTCTCAGAGGTGCCTTGTGATTGGTGTCTGTCCTGCTGCCGGGGCTGCGACCGCGAGATTCTGACCGTGCGGCTGCTGGAGGAGGAGGTGCGGCTCTCCCCTGACAGTGTGCTCTTGGCCCTGCAGCCGGACACAGCTGTGCTGCTCCGTGAGCTGCTGCCTCCCTTTATACCAGATGTGGGCAGGAAACAGATGAACTCATGTCCCAGCCACACCCACTTTCTGGCTCTGGAAGCGGCTGAGCCGCCGGCCGGGCCCCCTCGGTACCTCCCTCTACAGGACTTGTTGCAGCATGTACGTGCGTGCTGCTGTGTGTGTACGTGTGGAAGAGGGCTCGGAAACCATTGAGCAAACCCTGGCTACCTTGACCCAAAGGCCTCTCTTGATTTTGCTGCCCCCTGCCTGTGTCCTCTCTCTTTGGATGTTCTGCCAGTTTGACCCCTGGCAGTGCCAGATGGCCCCAAATGCCCTGTATTCAGGACTACCTTCCCTAGTGCTCAGCGTGGGGAAAAGCAGGTCACGTTCCCCTTTTCCTTTGGAAAAACGGGTAGCTGTGGCATTTTCAAAGAAATGAATAATCCTGCAGACTTTTCCCACCAGTGCTCACCACTCTGTGCCCTGCCCAACCACCAAGAGAGAACATCCCTCCCTCCTCTTGGCCATGATCCAGTGGCCAGAGGGCATGCAGCGTGCCACGTGATTGTCTGGGTTTGGTCTGTCTAGGACGTGGCTCCAAAGAGGACTCCCGTCTTCCCCTGCTCCCTGCCATGTGCCGGCTCAGCCGCCAGCCTCTGATGATGCACGGCTGACTCCCCCACGTGTCCAGACTTTCTCGGTGCCCCTGAAGGCTTTCTTTGTGTCAACAGTCCTGTCTGGCTGGGGTTGAGGTGTGCTGGGTGGGGCGGTGGAAAGGGGGCTGGGATCACTATGGTAAAGCCTTGGGAAGGAATTAGGAGTCCAATGTGTAAGTTTTGTTTTTTTGAGTTGCCCGCTGTGACCCAAGGGAGCTCATGCCTTCTCCTTCGACCACACAAGACACTCGGAGGGCTGGAACAGCAGGAGGGATAACCAATTCACAGGAGGTTTGTGGGGTGTGCTTTTAGGTCATCGCAGTTAGGCAAAGGAACAACGAAGGACTTTTGTTTAGTTACTGGAGGGCATGTGTGCTTGAGAGACAGAGATGGAAAGGGGGAAAGTACTCCTCAGTGGGGCGTGGTCACACTGCAATCCCTTCTCCCTTCTCTATTTCTCTGTTCTGTTGGAATCTGGCGCACTGATATACCGGTACCTGGCATGTTTTTCTTTTCTTTTTTTTTCTTTTTTTTTTTTTTTTTTTTTTTGAGAGATTTTTGTTATAGGACCTGTGTGCTTGCCAGAGAGACAGAGACAAAGATACAGAAAGTGAGAAATCACCCTCCAGGGGGATGGCCACACCACAATCCCTTCGCCTACATTCTCTTCTCAGGAGTTTGGGCACACATGCACAAGCTCCCGGTGTAAATTTAAGCCACTGGGTCTGGGACTCGAACCATGCTCGACTACCTGGGAGTCCAGCAACAGAACCATTACACCAACTGCTGGTCCCAAACCTGGCATGTTTTTCAAGTTTCAGGGGTCAAAGTGACTGATGAAGTCTGTGAAGGGTGAAGGGTGAAAATTGACTAGTGGTGGACCAGCAGTTGGTGTAATGGCTATGTCGCTGGACTCCCATGTAATTGACCGCGGTTCGTGTCCCAGACCTGGCGGCTTAAATTCACGCTGGGCGCGTGTGTGTGTGTGCCCAAGATCCCGAGAGGAGAATGGAGGAGAAGGGATTGCGGCGTGACCATCCCCCCTGGGGGGTGATTTCTCGCTTTCTGTCTCTCTGTCTCTCTCTGTCTGTCTGGTGAACACATGCGCCCTATAGCAAAAAACCTCTCCAAAAAAAAAAATAATTGACTAGTGGTGAGTGGGCAGGACCAGACTAGTACCTCTGGGAGTTTGTCGGGGTCAGGCGCCCTTAGCTGTGTAGTGTGGATGTTGTAGATAGAGGGGTGGCTGGGGTCATGCCAAAGGGGCCCTGGGGTGTGTGGGGGGGTGGTCTACACACTCTGATACTTTGTGTGGATGGTGTGGTCTGCAGGGAGTATCCACCAGACAGCTGATAGCAGAGTCACAGGAAGTGTAAGTGGGTGGCAGCCACGGATATTTGTTTTGGATTTTCTTCAGTAAACAGACACCAAGGGCAACCGCAGCTGAGCAGCTTTCCCATTTTTACTCTGTCTCAGGCTTTGTTTTCTCCGTTGCCCCTGGGAGTCAGGTGGGGTGGGGGTGGGTGGCCGGGAAAGAAGCGGAAACCTCCTTTGGAAAGTTAGGGTCACAGACATTTGAGCACTGTTCTTGTGAGACCACCTCTTGTTTATGTCTTTTTTCCTTTTCTCAGTTATGGCTTAGAGGCCCTGAGAAGGGGGTTAGCGGCGGCGAGGAAGAAGCAGCTACCCTGACCTCTCAGATGCGGGAGTCAAAGTCCAGCCCCTCACCCATCTTCTAGCATCATAAAGTCCTCCAGGCCTCAGCCTTCATCCTCAGGGGTGGGGGCACTGGGATCTGGGAGTCTATGCTGGGAGTGCCAAGCCCCGAGGATTTGGAGGGGCAGCGACAGACAGGTCTAGCAGCTAGAAGTGGCCTCCTCCAGGCGTCCGACGCCTGGCCCCTCAGCTGCGTTAGCCAGGCCCCCATCCCTCCCTCTCTCTGTCCTCCAGGAGCCATTGCCCTACTCCTTGCCAGCCTTAGCTGTAAAAGCCCCTCCTGTTTTCCTGGACAGCCTGAGTCTTGCCAGAACAGTGACCAATTCTCTCCCCTTTCATGGACCTGGTGGATGACCCTGATGCCATTCCACAAAGACACTCAGGCACAGAAGAGCCTGGGAGCATCTCGATGCCCTGCCTGGGGTAGGGGCCAGGGCACACTTTAGTTTATAAACAGAAGGGTTGGGGGCTGTCAGGTGGCATGGTGGTTAAGGACGCTGGACTCCCACATGGTCAACCACGGTTTGAGTCCTGGACCTGACGGCTTGCATTCTCATTGTCCCTC